TTTATTTAAATGTGAGCGTGTGTGTGTTAATTTTTGAGCAATGTAAATGTTGGTACCTTTAGCCAGATATTTCCAAGCAGCGTAGTTGATCCTTAAAAGACCTGCATATCAGTTAATTATTCTCAGACAATGATAGATTAATATGGATCATTGAGGAAATGCTGAGCTTGAAGTCTCAACTTATTGATCGGACAATAACACGGTCTTATTTTTAGTGAAAAGTAAAGTAGTTATAACTATATATATATATACATAGATAGATAGATAGATGATACATTTATGTGGTCAAAATTATATTCTCTGGAAACTGTGATGGAGAAATAACTTAAATATTATTTGCGTTCATGATCAAATATTAGTACCTGAAATTAGCAGCTTGGCATCATGTTGGTGGCCAGATTCTAAGTCTGTACTTGGGGGCCTAAACAACTCAAAGCTATCGTAACCTTCAATTTTATATCTTTCATCAGGAAGCACTACATACACATCATCTGAATTACGTTACGATCCACATTCATTTGCATTCACAACACCAACACACACACACTCTCACAGAGATCAGATGGCATAGTTATAGATGAGGTTGGGGAGGGATGTCATTGGTTACTGGCTTTAAAAAGCAGTGGGCATTCTAGCGAGAAGCTGAAGACACGTCAACCCACTTTTATTCCTCTCTATCAGTATTGTAGACTACCCCCATCCTTCCTCATTATTATCCAAAGGGTTACATCTACACTCACATTAAAGTGCATAGAAATTGACCAGTCATTAGTGGTGTTGCCGATTTCACGCATGTTACAAGGCTTGTATGTATAAGTTTAAAATATATACACATCTTTAGTATATCTGCAACACTTGCCTAGGATTAGAATTTATATTACCAGAATCTCACTGTAGGGACAAGTAATAAGATTCTCTCCTAAGGTGAGCTAAGGAATCTCTTAATCAACAAGCCAATAAATTACTTTAATCCCCACTTACATATGTCAAAATATTAATTATATTTCGTTTCTTTTTGTCATTTTAAAATATATAAGAACCAACCACCATAATTTAGAAATAGAAAAGGCACAATTTTTTTACTTTATTTATATAAATAGAATTTCTTTTAAAATTATACAAATATATACATGTATATAACAAACAACCTTGAAAATTATTTTTTTGAAAAAAAATTATCTACAGATCAATGTATGTATGTCTCTCTCTCTCTCTCTCTCTCTCTCTCTCTCGGTACAGAAAGAGGCAAAAAAATGATGCTTTATTTGTCTAAAATCTATTAATTTCTTTTTACTTTGATCTACAGAAAATTGGTCGAAAGTGATATGTAGTGAAGCCAGATTATTCAAATTAAAATGATACAGCCAAAAAGCCTTGATTAACTAACATTTCACAACATAATAAACAAATCAAGATATACTAGTATATATTAAAGTAATATACACAACCTAGATTTGTATAAGAGTAACAAGTACTGCAAAGAGAAAGATAGTTACCAAAATATTGGCCATTCATGCCAGCGTGAAGAATGGTCTGAGTATGGTTACGAAGATAAATTTTCATATCACTCTGAGGCTGAGTTGCTGCTGCTTCTTTGGCCAAATAGATCACCATCTTTAGGTTCCCTTACTTAGCTGCCATGAACAGTGGCGTTTCTCCTTTCGAGTTTTTCTTCTCTAGCAATGGCCTTCCCTTTTCCTCCTCCTCCTCCTCCTCCTCAGCCACTGCCTGCGGGAGTGGCCACGGCATCTTCTTTTGGAAGTCAAGTACAACATCTGCCATCTCCACCACCTTGCAAATCAACGCGATTTCATGAAGGAGAGTGTTACCTTCACAGGACTTCTTCGTGAAGGCAACCCATCGTTCTTGTTCTGAAAGCATTTCCAGCAACTCCTTTAAGAGCTGTGGACTGTTAGAGCGAGTTGCTATGTTAATGGCGGTGTTCTTGAACAAGTCCAAATTCTCAAGTAGATCTTTCTTATCTTCTTGGAAGATTTCCTAGAAGGCTCTCCAGTCTCCAGACCTAGAAGCTCTCAGCTTTTTTTATTAGGAGAAGAATAAAGAGATATCAAAAGGATTAATTAATTTAAGTTAGGTCTCAAGGGTCAAACTCTAAAAATTTATAAATTCATTTTTCAATTTTACAACTACATTGTGATAAATTTGTAACTTATTTTTTAAATTAACATGGTTGAAGAATAGAAAAAAATATTTTCTCTATTAAAATTTAAAATATAAGTTACAAATTCATCAATGGAATTGTAAAATTAAAAGATTAAATTATAAATTCTTAAAATTTAACACTTAAAATTTAATTTAAATTAAAGGAATCTCTTTGTGATTCCTCCTTTTTTATTCTCTCGCGGAACAGAGAGGTCTCTCCCTCTATCTTAATTTTGGAAGTACTCTTCTTTCCCATTTTCCTCTCACACTCACACTACTACTGCTTGTGCTCAATCTGTGTTTGTGGGCGTTCATATGTATACAGTGACAGCAAGGGGTGCCTCTCAAGCTTTCCTACTAGACAGTACTGTTTTTTTTTAATCTTTATGTAAAAGAAATAAAAAATCAAATTTTTTTGAAAAATTCAGAATCAACACATTTCAAAACTGAATAAAGATGCGCTTCCTTCCATTTTATTTATTAATTACTTTCAACATGTTTCATGAAAATTTAAAAAAAAAAGCTTAAATTTTATTAATTATGTCTAAAAATTTAACAAGTTTTTTACTTTACCTCTATTAAATATGCATACTTTAAAATTAAAATAATTCAACATTTAATTAATAATATTATTGGCAATTAACAGGAAAAAGATGATAAATTCAGTATAATTATTTGTTTATATATTTTTACGTTAAATTCAGTATAATTATTTTCCTGTATCCAAGCTAATATTGTGTAGTTTAATTTCTATTTTAAATATCAGTATGTCGTCTACTATTACGTTGAATTTTGTTTCTTTTGAATAAGTAATCTAACTTTTAGCTATGGTGAATTTCAACATTAAATTTTATGTGATAGTTTTATTAAATATAAAAAAAATCCTACATCTAAAGATTAGATGATAATCATAAATATATAAGCTTAAAAAGTATTTAACTAAATGACTTAAGTTATTTTGATAGAGTATACTATCGTCAAGCAAACTTAAGATAAGAAATCTAATATGAGATTAGAGCTATTCAATTAGGGACCAAAAAGGAGGAGGAGGAGGAGGAAGGTACAAGCCCGGACAAGAAGAAGAAGAAAATGAATAAAAAATATTAAACATAACAAAAGTCTCACATCTAAAGATTAGATAATAGATCATAAATATATAAGCTTAAAAAATATTTAATTAAATAAGCTAAGCTATTTTGGTAGTGTATATTATCCGCAAGCAAATTTAATATAAAAATTCTAATATGGTATCAAAGTTATTCGATCGGAGACCAAATTAAAACAAAAAAAAAACAAGAAGAAGAAGAAGAAATGAAAGAATGAAAAATAAAAAATACAAGAGATTAAAAAAAAAAAGAGGACGAGGAGGAGAACAAGAAGAAGAGGAGACTTGAGGCCTCTGAGACTAAAAAAAAGCATAAACCTAAGCAAAAAGAAGAAGAAGAAAATGAATAAAAAAGAAAAAAATAGTAGAGGGAATATTAAACATAAGAGAAGTCTTACATTTAAAAATTAAATTATAAATCACAAATATATATAAACTTAAAAAGTGTGTAACCAAACGACTTAAGGTATTTTGATGGAGTATACTATCCTTAAGTAAACTTAATAAAAAAAAATCTAATATAGCATCAGAGCTATTCAATCGGGGACCAAAGCAAAAAACAAAAAAAACAAGAAGAAGAAGAAGAAGAAGAAGAAGAAGAAGAAAATAAATAAAAAAAGGAAAAAAATAATAGAGGGAATATAAAACATAAAAGAAATCTCATATCTAAAAATTAGATGATAGTCATAAATATATAAATTTAAAAAATATTTAACCAAACGGTTTAAGCTATTTTAGGGAATATACTATTCTCAAGTAAACTTAATATAAGAAATTTAATAAGTTTCTTGTGTTAAAATATAAATAACAGTAACAAATAATATTATGTTGCTAAAACCAGTGAATATAATTTCATATTAGTTGTAAAGCAAATGATCCACAGACACGGATAAAGGGTTCGCTAACCATTCTATGTCGGGACTTTAATGTTGGATATATGCTTGAGGATTAATTGTAGAACATATAAGTAGTCTTACAATAGAAGTGCGTCTGACCTCTAATGTTCTATTTTATGCTTTTTTACCGATTGTATGTCGTCTAATATTATAAAAGTATTAGCTGGGATATGTTCTTTGTTGCTTCCAAGAAGCAAAAGTAAAAAGGAAAGAATTGAAAAGAAAATGCCTTCTGTTTTCGACTTCAGATCCCCATAACACTCTCAATTCACGGTTGATAGAATTCAAGCATGAACATGATGAATGTTTGAATATTGTTAGAAACTTAGATCAGTATTAGCCTCTTAAAAATTTTTAATTTTTAATTTTTATTTTTGTTGACAGCGCCTGAAGGTTCATTCGCAGATGAATGTTTGATGGGCTGGCTAAGACCCACATGCTCGTGAGTCCAATACATGCCCCAAATTTAGTCAATCAATTTTTTTTAAAATATTAATTATTAATCAGTTTCTTAATTTATTTATGGCTTTAATTTGGAAATTAAAGTTGTGATGGCCTGTTGATAAGAACGTTTGGCTTTCACTTAATTAACGTGCATGTAAACTTTTTTAACGAAGCGTATTTTTTTCGGACTCTCCTTAATTAGACTAAAAAAAAAAAAATCATCGCCGCTTAAAAGGTGTGGTCATAACAAAACAAAAATAAAAGAATAAAATTAGAAGCATGCAATAATCACAAGAAAATCTTATTTATTCATTAGAATTTTCTTGTTGGATAATAATATATCCAGCAAGAAGTTTTACCCAAACTCGAGTAATATAACACAAAAGCCCCAACTGACCCAAAAAAAAAAAACCCCCAAATGCCATAAAGCTTCCTCGCGCGCGCGCACATAAATGTACAAACTCCTTTATTCATCAGAAAAGCACACAAATAAACACCCCCTTTGAAGAAGAATTAATTTGCTTCAAGCGCGTGCTTCGGTTTCTTAACTCTTCTGATTAGATTAATCACCTTCATAGCCTTCTTACGTATCTCGTGAAGCAGGCTCGGAAGCTTCTTATAATGTGGGAATTGAATCAAGCCAAATATGGTGACAGGGAAGAACGCAGCACTATACACTAAAGTTGAAGTCCATTGCTTCCATTGCAACCTAATTGTGAGCAAAATCGTTGCACTGAAAGCAAGCATCGTGCTGACCAATGCCAAGAACAGAAAAGCAAACCCTGTGCTCAGTTTTCGTGGTAGCGACTTGTGGAAATCCCAGAGCTCAAAAGGCGCATTGAGGACGGAGAGAAACATGACCACTGAAGCCAAGGAGAAGGCAAGCGCCACGATGTCCATGATGGTGAAGAATATGAACACTGGAGATGTAAGGAACACCGGCGAGCCACCCTCATTCCCTCCCGGTATGGTATAAGCTGCTGTAAAGACCACTGTGGCCACAAGTACTGCCACCATGGAGCAAGACTCAGCGGTTCGCTGTGTCCATTGTTGGGCGTCTGCAAGCATGTCATGGTGTTCTATGTCCAGAACATCCCCGGCTGTTAGTTTCTCATTGTCACAATGCAAGTGTAAATGAACAGGAACAACTTTTTCCACTCGCTGCACATCTCACACACAACAAAATTGGTTTAATTCCTTGACGATCAATGAATACGTCTAAATCCAAAGAGGGAAGGTAATTAATTGCTTACTTTATACCACTTGAGCTCGTGTTGTAGTTGGAATGCTGCACCAGGTTGGGACGATGGTCTGTAATAATCCATCCTGGCAACTTCATGCAACACGGTACGATTGATAATAGAAATTTGAGAACACAAGGGAGAAAAGTGTTGCTTTTGCTTGAGCAATCGGAAGATGTTAAGTTGACGGTGTTTAACAGTTATGTGAAGTATGTTTTGGCCATCTTCACTGACGTGAATTATGGACATCGGATGGAGTTTAAGGTACAACTCTACGATTTCTTCAATCCCGTTGCTAGTTGCCACAAACAATGGTGTTCTATATATATTATCATCATGAGTTTGATCTTTCGTACCTTGCAGCTCTTCTCTCTTCTCCTTCCGTTCCAATTGTTTTTTCCTTTTCGCGACATTGACAAGAGCAGGAGGCAGTATAACTTGCTGTTTGTCGCCACGATTGGAACAGGTCTGCCATGAGTCATCATTCTTAACTAGAAACTCTGCCAGAATTTTTGCAAACTTATGTTTCTTCTTTTCATCAAATATCGTCTTAATTCTCGATACAGTTGCTTCCTCATTTTGGTCTAGCAAGCATAGTTAATTAATTTAATTATCATACGTGAGTACAGAATTTTGATCAAATAGTGAACGTGTGTGGATTTTTGAACAATATTCGCACCTTTGGGTAGATTGTTACTGACAATAGAGTTTATCCGTGAAAGCACTGCAAAACAGCGATGACAGATTTAAGAAGTTACAAATTTTTAAGCCTTTTTACTGGAAAAAACTTATATATGAAGATTTGAATTCTCCACATCCTTGGCAATTAGATAAAAAAAGTATTTCAATATAAATTTTCATTGATACTAAAGTACCAGAAGGTGGTGGCTTTGCATCTTGGGCACTTTCTAAGTCGTTGAGGTGCCTAGGCAACTTAAAACCATCACAACCTTCAATTTGGCATCTCCCGTCAGGAAGCACTATCCATCGAAGTCCAGAATTACGATCCCCCATTTCCATTTTTACACATACACAATTGTGAGAATTATTGACAAAGTCATACCAGCAAAGACATTGAGAAAACAAAGATATGAGGGGGAAGAGAGAGAGAAGTTACATTTATAGATGAGGATGGTGAAGAATCCTTTTTTGTATTGGCTCCGAAAGGCAGCAGGCATTCTGGCTAGAAGCTGAAGGCACGTGAGGTCACTTTTATTACGCTTCCTAATTAGACTACTACAATCTATCTTCTCGATTATCCAACAAGCTATATCTGCACAAGCCCATGTAATATAATTGAACATCTCTCAATGCTGAAGGACAAGTATATATCAATAATAAGGCTCTCTACCATGATTTTAGCTGATATATACTTACCAAAATATTGCCCATTAATACAAGCATGGAGAATAGTCTCTTCATCGCTATAAAGATGAATATTCATGTGTTTTGTTGCTTGTTTGGCCATATATTCCAGCGCCTTCATGTTGCCGTACTTGGCAGCCTTAAACAATGGTGTTTCGCCTATTGAGTTTTTCATCTCCAGTAATTTCAGCCTCTCCGGTGGCAGAGCTGATGCTATCTTCTTTTCAGAGTCGAGCACAACTTTCACCATCTCCGTCACCGTTGACAGTTTCTTTCGGTACGCGATTTTGTGAAGAAGGGTATTGCCTTGACAATTCTGCTTCGTCAAGGCAACCCACTTTTCTTGTTGAGACAGCATATCCAGTAACTCCATCATCAGTTTGGGATTGTCACTGTCAACTGCGACGCCAACTGCGGTGTTCTTGAACAAGTCAAAATTCTCGAGCAGATCATCTTTCTTGCCATAATCCTTGAATATTTTCTTGAAGTTTTCCCAATCTTCATCAAAGTAAGCTTTTTGAGCTTCCTTTATTGTGTTGTTGAACAAAATCGGTTCCTCACAACTCTTATTTCCCATTTATTTCCTCCCTTGCACACGCATGCTACCACCACTATTGATGCTCAGCATTGTATATATACACTGCGAAGGAGTCTCTCACAAGTTTTCTTTCTTTCCTTTTTTTTTGGGCCAAGAAATCTCATAGGCTTTCTTATTTAGATAATAATGCCTTCGTGTATACAGTTATTTGCACTAGGAAAATGGTAATATTTTTTCTTAAATTAAGAATTAACATAATTTAAAACTGTGTCATTTAATTCATTTTTACAATCCCTACAATATAAAATAATTAGTGTTATTTATACCACTATATCGTGAGTAATTCTTTTTTAAAATTTTGATCATAACATCGTAGTAACTTTTAAGTTTATGTGTATAGTTGGGTTCATGAGTTTTATGAGATTATTTAGGTTGTAATGTAGATAGTAATACAAATGATATTGAATTGGGTCAAAAGACTCAATTATCTTAAAATTCTAAGGTCGAATATTTACATTCCATACATTTTGTAGACCATATTGTGAATATGATGGCCCCTTTTTTTTTAATTGCATAAAGCCAGCGATGGATTCAGGATTATTTTATGCATGGGGGCCAAATTTTATTCTACCTTTTTGGGGAAAGATTTTGCCACAAAATTTTTATAACTAATTCTTAAAGCCCATGAATAATTTAAGGAGATAAACATTTAGAGGTGTTGACCCCTAATCCATCTGCATACAAGTATTTTTCATTATTTGAGGCAATCCGGTTTGAGATATAGTCAACCATTATATGTAAATACGTTTCAAAGTCATGATTTAAACCTTAATCCGTGATGTTATGAGGGACTAACCTTTTCTATTAAATTTAAACTCATCAGCATATGATTATTTTTAATAAAATGATGTATATGAGGAATAAGAAAAATAATATGTTACAGATACTACTATCTATATGATATTAGATAGATCTATAGAGGTAACAGCATGCATCACTCAGAACACAGCTAAATGCCTTTACTCCCTATATTCTTTTTATTAAACGTGGACATCTCATCTAGTTATAATTTAAATCTTGATTCGTCAAGTTATAAATGATTAATCCCTTCCATTAAACTGAAATATGTTAATACATAACTGTTTTAAATGGTAGGATACCTAAGTAATAAAAAATAATGTGTTAGACGCTGTTATCTAGTATTAGATAGCTTTATACATAATGGTATAACACATCATATAGCCCAATGCCATTACTCATCATTCTTTTTATTTTTGCAAGAAAGTACCAATATTATATTTTCCTTTTCAATATTGGTGGTCCAAACACTTGACGCGTGTTTTTGGCGCAAAAAAACAAAAAGAATACTTGACGTGTGGGGGGATCATCGCGTCAACACCGACGTGACAATCAACCCTCGGCACAGTATCATATTCTTTAAGAAAGCAGCAATGTTGATGGTTAAAAAAAACAAAAGAAAGCAGCGATATTGTATTCTTTAAGAAAGTAGCCATGTTATATTCTTTATTCACCACGTGATTCATGTATATGTCCATCAGAATAATTAATATCGATAGTGTCTTGAAAAGAAAGTAGACTTCATTGTTCCAAAAGTTGGACGCCAAGTATTTACTTCAGTACTTTATTTAAAATCAGCTTAATTGAAGCCTGAATTACATAATAATATATACTTTTTCTGAATAAAAGCCAATATATTAATTATAAAATGATTACAAAAGTAATTGGACCCTCAAAACACTACCTGGGAGCCTAGCAGTATAGTCTGACTAGTAGGTACAAAAAACAATAACAACTAAAAACCCAAACCAATATGAAAACAGGGCACAGGAAAGTAAAGACATAAGATATGAACCAAGTTTTCAAGGATTGCTCTCTCGCTCCTTCTGTATGAAAGAAAGTCCTACATGGCGATATGTATACTGAGTTCTGCAAGCAGAATGTGGATTTCTGGTTAGTCAATCTTTTCAAATCTGTAAGGTCTGACATCTCTTAGAAAGTGGGAACTAACATTATCTGTTGGAAATCATGGAAAGCAAGGAATCATAGAAATTTTGTAGTCGAAACTTACAATGTTGATTCCCTTCTTGTAAATTATGGATCTTAGTAAACCATGCATGCTCTTAAATTTTTTTCTACTTTTAAACCTCTGATGTGACTGGTTTAGTCTTTTGTTTTCCTGATGTATCTTATGCTGTGCAGTTTCTTCGATTAATGATATTCCCACTTTTACTCAAAATTAAAGAAAGGACAAAGGAAATAAGAACATGACCCATTACGCAATATATAATATATTCCCACAAATCAAAATATGTAACATCTTTTGTTATAAAAAAAACATTGCTTTTATTTTCCTTGCCAGGTTCAACCTAAATCGAAGTAAAAGAAGCCATGTTAGGGTCATGATGATTAAAATCATCCTACCATGATTAAAGCTATAATTGACTTTATTTTTTGTTTTGCATCAAAATTAATTAATAGGATTGAATTAATTGAATAATTAATATTTGAATTAGTTTGTCGATTGTTAATTGGAGCAACACGATGGTGAATTATTCATTCCTCCGCAGTGCTGGCTTTTTGGATCAATCATTGGACTCAGTTGGTCAATGGAATCTAACCCATCCACAACGCGTGTCCTTTTATTTATTCATTTAAAAAACCCTAAATTCTACGTGGTTGTGTGGTCCTCTTTCAAATTATATCCTCTAAAATAAATAAAAACTTGTTATGGTGTATATGCAATTTTTTTAAAATATGAGGAACGAGGCTGCTTAAGTTATATAATTTTTAAGGTTTTAAAGCCTACAAGGCTGCTCTCTATAGTACTGTGGAGTATAATTTGATTGTGTAATGATGATTTAGATTTTTTTCCAATTTTATTATTTGATAGAATTCTGTAATTATTTATTTTTTGAAAGACAATATAGAAATTCACCACTTTCTATATACCAGTTCTACAGTCTATGTAAAAAACACTTTCCATGTAAGTTGATTTTGATCAGATAATAGCAATTATCAAACCAAAATGAAAACCTTAATTAATAAGCATGCGATCAAAATTAACAATAAGGAATGACTAGTTCATCACATCCTATATTTGTTTTTTTTATTTTTTTTTGTAAAAATGAATTCACGAGGCAGACAAATAAAGCCTTAAATGTCTATATTTTTTTAGCATAATCTTGCTTCTTCCATTTCACTCTCTCTGGGCCTGTTAATGAAGTATGAATGAAAGAAATTGGATCTAATAGATGAAGATCAAGTGGGCTTGTTGATCAGTGCTGAGGAAATAAATTTTAGGCTTCAAGTGACCAACTACGATTTCATTCCACTTTATTGTTTATATGTTGACTAATTGCGACTAATTATCTTTGAGTAGATCCTATTTGAGATGAACATGGATTGCATCCCTTGAACTCGATTCAATAAAGTAATGGCGATGCTATGTATTAAGAGTAGAAGATATCCATATACGTGTAAATTTTACTTTATTATTTTATTTCATTCAATCTTGAATGTATGAACTACTTGAAGAATCTGTTTTGGTCCTAAAATATGTATAAGTGATTAGCTAGTTTCATATCGTCGCAACGCATGAATAATCCATAGGCTTAAGCTCCACTGAATTGACCCATTCTGTCGGATCACTTAACACCACTGGCTCACTACCTTTAAAGATCAATCGCTCTCCATAATGAGTTTGGTAATTTAATCTCGGCTTCATAAGGACTGCAGTTTTCTATATTACAATAAAACTATTTATTAAAAAATCCAGCAAAAATGACCTCTAGACATAAGGCTTTCTGGGGATTGTAATGTTTGATATGCAAATAAAAATGAGTATTTATGGAGTAGTCATATATCGAAGTGTGTCCGCCTTCTAATTCATGTTCTCTTTTATTCTTTTTGGCGATTGCATGTCCTATAATATTCTAAAAGTATGTGCTGTGATATATTCTTTGTTGCTTACCAAAAACAAAAGTGGAAAATTGAAAAGAAAAGCCTTCTTCTATTGTTTTTTTAATTAATTTACTCCAGCACCATGTAATACATGTCACAATATATGGTTGTTGGAATTCAATTGTGTGAAGTGTGAAATAATCACAATAAATATTATTTGTTCATTAGAATTTACAAAGGAAATACAAGAAGTAGTATTCGATCGATGACTGTTTTATTACAGAAAGGTTGTATTTGACACTCGCATATAATATTGTTAAGAGAAATAGAACAAACCAACCACACACAAGGCTTCCTCATATAGATATTCTTTTATTTAGCAACAAAGCACAAATTAACACATTCTTTCATTTAAAATTTATGCTAAGTACTGTTCGCTTATTGATTCTTAGCTTTCTTGATCCTCAACAATCGAGCGATTGGATTAATAGCCTTCTTACACATCATGTGGAGAAAGTTGGGAAGCTTCTTATAAAGTGGGAATTCAATCAAGACAAATATGGTGACAGGGAAGAATGCAGCACTATACACTAAATTTGAAGTCCATTGCTTCCACTGTAACCTAATTGTCAGTAAAATTGTTGCACAAAAAGCAGGCATCATAGTGGTTAGCACCAATAATAGAAAAGAAAACCCTACATTCAGTTTTTGGCAAAGACTTATGGAAATCCCATAGCTCAAATGGAAAAGTGAGGATGGAAAGAAACATGACCACCGAAGCTAAGGAGAAGGCCAATGCCACAATGTCCATAACAGTAAAGAAGATGAACACTGACGAACTGAGGAAAACCAATGAGCTGCCCTCGCTGCCTCTCGAGATAGTGTAGGCTGTTGCAAAGACCACTGTAGCCATAAAAACCACCACAGTGGAGCATGATTGGGCAGTTTGCTGTATCCATGATCTGGCCTGTTCAAGCATGTTATGGTACTCTATGTCCAGAACATCTTTTACTGTTAATACCTGATTGTCACAATGCAAGTGTACCTCCATGGGAATAATTTTTTCCACTTGCTGCACATCACACATATAACAAAATCTTGGCTGTCACCGAGAGAGAGAAGGAGAGAAATCTAAGTTACCTTGGTAATGATTTGTATCAAATCTAGAGTTGGTTATTGATTTAAGTAACAATTTAGGACTATTTCAACTAAAGAGAATTGAAGTATTAGGATACATACTTTATACCACTTGAGCTCATCTTATAGTTTGAATGCTGCACTAGGTTGGGATGATCCTCTATAATAATCTATGTCGGCAACTTCGTGCAACGCGTTGTGATTTGTCGTAAAAATTTGATAAATCAAGGAAGTAAAAATTGGATGTTTCTTTAGCATCTTGAAGATTTTCAGTTGACGGTGCCTAACTGCTATGTGCAATATGTTATAGCCATCACACCCATGTAATTTAAAGAAATTGGATGCTCTTTAAGGAAAAGGTCTACAATCTCTTCAATGCCTGTGCTAGCTACTACAAACAATAGTGTTTTATAATGTTTGTGTATGCTCTGTTCATCTTTACCTTGGAGATCTTCTATCTCCTCCTTCTGTTCTAATTGTTGTTTCCTTTTTTCAACATTGTAGAGAACAGGTGGCAATCGGACCTGCGAATCACTTATACGACTGCTATAAGAGACCTACCACGAGAAGTCATGCTTCACCAAAAACTCTTCTAGACACTTTGCTAATTGATGCTTCCTCTTAAGTTCCTAAAGAGATTCGATCCCCATGAATGCTGCTTCAATCATGTTGGTCAATCATATCACTAATTCATCATGTCATCAGTATGTTAGGATCAAATGTGAATGTGTGTGTGTCAATTTTTAAACAAAATGTTCGCATATTTAGCTAGACATTTCCAAACAGCATAGTTGATTCTTGAAAGAGATCTCACTGCAAGTCAATCATTTACTACTTTATAGAAATACACACACATGGTATTTTGATCATATATAAGAGTCCTTGAATATATATAACATTTTTATTAAATAAAGAAGTACCTGAAGTTGGTGGCTTGGCACTCTTGTGTGGGCCAGTTTCTATGTCTGAGGGCTACCCACATGACTCAGAGTATCACAACCTTTAATTGTTTGGTATCTTTCATCGGGTAATACTATCCATCCAAATTATATTCACACACACACACACACACACACACACACACACACACACACAATCAAACTTGTGAGAAATAAATTGGAGTTATAAAGTAAAAAGAATGTGTACATACGCGCGCGCGCGCGCACATATAGAGAGAGAGAGAGAGACTACTATAATATATGAAGTTCTTGAGGGCTCCCATGGGATTGTGGCTTTGAAAAACTTCAAGCATGCTAGCAAGAAGCTGAAGACAAGTGAGGTTCCTTTCATTGCGCTCTTGAGCTAGCCTTGTCCTATTCATTCTATTAATTATCCAAAGAGCTACATCTATACTCACATATATATATCCTCAGTATATAGTACACTAAGCAATCTCTAAATTGAGGTAATACAACAAAAAACACGATCATCATCCTGTAGTGGCACGGATACATACCAAAATATCTGGCATTGATACAATCATGAAGAATAGTCTTAGTATTATTGTAGCAATGAATTTTAAAGATGTCATCTTAAAGAGGCTGAGTTGCTTCTGCAACATGTTAACCGAATAAATGCTTTAGCATCTTGAGGTTGCCATATGCAGCAGCCCTAAACAAAGGCGTCTCGCAACTTTTTTTTCCTCTCTATTAATGTCGGCCCTCTTTTTTACTTCTCATCATCAGGTAGTGTTGCTGCTGCCTTGTTTTCAAACTAAAGTATAACATCTGCCATTTGCACAGATAGTCTTGTTCGCATGGCAATATTGTAAAGAATAGTATTGCCTCGATAGTTGGGTTTAGTGAGGGCGAGCCAGCAATCTTATTCGGAGAGTATTTCAAGTAAAGCCCTCAAGAGCTTGAGATTAGCACTACAAATAGCAACGCTGAGAGCAGTGTCCTTGAACAAGTTGAAATCCTTGAACATTTCTTTCTTGTCTTGCACGAACATTTTCTTGAAGGCTTCCCAATCTGTATCTAACACTAAGTAATAAGCATTTTGAGCTTTTCTCATTATCTCATTAAACATGCTTCCTCCTTCAATCTCTATTTCACTATTCTTCCCTCCCATCATTTTCCTCTCTCTCCCTCTCCTTTCACACTGTCATTATGTACACACACTTTGATGGAGTCTCTCCTACAAGTGTGTAAACTGAAGATGACCCTCAACAATTGACCTAAATAATTTATATAGTTTTTTAATATATAATTGTCTTAAACATGTTCCTGTGTTTTAAAATTATAATTGAAAGCATTTTAATATTATAATTAATTGAAAGCATGCATATTCTTTGCTTACCTAAAGAAAAAAGTAAACAGAGAAAAGAAATTTATACCCTTCTCTAATAAAAGCTGTTGATGGCCAAATTTTAAGAGAAGCACTATGAATACTCATGATCAACATGTATATACTCAGCCACTTAGTAAAAGCAAATAATTAAATGAACAATATTATTTTTTTCTTTAAAAAATAAAGGAAAATGAAAAATTGGTAAGAGAATACCTTTTTGTCAATCAATATAATGAAATACAATTTAAATTTAATTATATGACAAATCACACTATTCATTAGAGAAAATGTTCAATTAGTTTGAATATACAAGTGGAAAGATAACAAATTTTAAGGGACCAGTTTCCCTACTCATCATCCCAATGCTCATCCTTGGGATGAAACCTGAACCATCCAAAATTTAATCTGGATGATCTAAATTTAAAATATTATTATATTTATTAAAAAAATTTATAAATTATTTTAATAAATTTTTTATTTTAAAATAGTCAAGATTTAATTTAGAGGATCTAATTTAATATTAAAATTTATATTACTGATGTATATTAATTATTCAGATATACTCTGCATGATCCAAATTTATTTTTTTTATACATTTAATAATCTGAATTGTGCAAAGTACATTTGAAAAATTAATATATATCAATTATAAAATTTTTAATATTAAATTGAACCCTTTAAATTAAATATAGACTAGATTAAAAATAAAAAAATTTATTAAAATTATTTTATAATTTTTACAAATTTTTATTTTAATAAATATAATATAAAATAATTTTTAAAATCTGTACCAAAATCTAAATGATCCAGATCTCATCTCAAAGGTGAGTAGGAAAACTCATCCTCAAATTTTAATCATTAGTATGTTCTCTAGCTCAAAAATAAATAATTACACATCAAAATTAGCTTATTAATCTAAATGGTCCATATTGCATCTTAAAGATGATCAAGGAAACTTGTCATGAAATTTTATATACATCAAAATTAGCTTATCCTTATGGAGAAAGCTAACTCTTGAACTAACCGCTTGGAAAAAAATGAGAGTGAAAAAACCAACCAAACTACTTTATGTCAAGTCAATATATCAATGAGAACATTAAAGTGATTCCTGATGGGTTTCACTTTCAGGAAAGAATATATGCGTAAGTAGACATCTGCTAAAGGCCGGGGAAAATAATTTCATATCAATGATATATGTAAAGTACACAAATGACATCCTGACACATGGGCTTTTTAATCATTCTATTCTGGGAAAGAACGCCCAAGCATTAAAGCTCAGATTTGAGGTGTCTGTTTGGATTTCAGCTGGATATAATAGATTATAAAAATAATTAATTAAATGATAATTTTAATTATAATTAATTATGTTATAACGCAATGTGTTTGGATACTATTTTTCTAAAGTTGATTTTAATAGAATTGAAGATGTTTGAATAATTTAATCAAAATTAATTTTTAACTATATAAATTACTATATAATTAAATTTTTAAATATCAAATAATAATTTTTTGAAGATACAAAGTTTATATTTTATTAAGAAAAAAGGGGAAAGAAGAGAGTTTTATTTTATTTTTATTAAATTATGTGCTTTTTTTTCTTAGGCCTGTCTTTGTAATTTTCCCCAATATTTTTGACAAACTATTGGCAGAAAGTGGATGGAGTGAGCTTCTAGAAAAACGCACGTTTTGTCTCATAATTGATTTTTGATTATTTTTTATTGTTTGGATAAATTGGCTAAAAAAATCAATTTTGGGGTCCAAAATCAATTTTTCCCCTTATCCAACCTGGCAGGAGAATTATAAAAGAGTCTTGTACATATAGAAATATCTCCACCCTCTTACATTCCTATTTTACTTTTAAAAAACACGCGTGTATATGTGTGCGCGCGCGCGCACATACTCCAATAATACTTTAAAAGAATGCTGCATCAAAGTGTGTACACACACATATACATATATTCTTAACTTAAAAAAACAAATTGAAAAGACAAAATTAAAAAGAAAATGCCTTCTATGTTTTACTTTAGCACTACATAAGTATCAATGATTCGAAGTGTTGTTGTCCTCTCTATCACCTCATTCAATACTCTTCATTTTAATTAATGGTTAGAAAATTTTCATCTAATTCCTCCAAACAAAAGGCTAAAATCTTAGATACAAGAGAGATAGCAGACACCTCAAATAGCAGATACCTCAAATCTAAGTATCAATCGTTGTTAGGATTCAGGTGTGAATATAATGAATGTCACAATATACTCAGTGCTAACATTTAAAAAATATCCATTAGAAGGGACTAACAAGGAAATCAAAGGTTCATTCACAGATGCACGTTGATGGGATTGCCAAGATCCAAGGTCATGAATGAGCCCGAATTAAGTTAATCAAATGACATTCAATAATCAATTATTTAGTTAATTTATTAACCTTTGAAAAGCACAGCCTAAAAAAGTTAAAATTAAAAAACCCTTGAAAGGTAATGTTTTTTGCTCTGTTTCACTTTGTCGGGCTTGGGCATTGTGTGTTTGGATAATATTGATATTAAATTTTCACAGCTTAGCTGCAAATGGGCTTGTTAACCTTTTCTATTATCTCCTCTAATGTCCAAATCTTAACTCCTCATTTCAA